CTGAAGCTGTAGACTATATGCTGACGAGCATGTGTTTCCATTTACCTGTCCCGGCTACCTCTGAGCATAACGTTCCCACTGCAGTTATTATCCGGAGCCCTGTGCGGTCACACTACAGGGGGCCCTTCTGTTGGGAAGTTAATGCAATATCCATCCACCTCTCACAGACAACTGAGGCCCTCTCAGTACATTTGTCCATTTAAATGGAATTTCTTGCAGACAAAGAGCTAGCTCCGTATAAGTTTGAAATCTTGAGCCCTCATATGAGACTTGGTGATTTTTGGACCCCTGGGTCGTACCAAAATGACAGAAGATTGAGGGTGTAGCTTGTGTAAAGATGAAGCCTTTCCAAAAAAGACACTTAGCAATGGATATTAAAGCACAGAGAGCTTGTTGTTTGGTTTTCTGAGTCTGCATATGGACAGGTTTTAGGTGTCTGCGTATTCTAAAACTCAACATATCAGATGATTAAGTCCTCCCTCGGATCTGCGGGGATGACTGAGTGTTTGATAAACTTCAAATACGTGGTGTTTGGTCAACCCGACCAACTGGATGGAAAATATTGTCTCAGTTGGCAGGCTGGTCAATCTATAAACTCTGTGCCGTTTGTGTTGGTAGAGTTGCCAACACCGACCAACTCGCTCCAATCATAACTTTTGTCCTTCTGCGCAACAGACGCTTATTTATTTCATCCTGAGATTGCAGGCAGTGTCCTCCTCCTCTCTAGTCCAAAGGGAAAACACAAGGACAAATATTTTCTTTTGGGAGCGTCGCTCTGTTCTACCTGAAGATTTCATGAATCCAGCACATGTCCGTTTCCTGGAACCGCCAAGCATCTTTCCATCCCAGCACCCCTCGCCCCGCCTCTCAGCCTCTCCTCTTGACCAGTGTCTGAGGCTGCTGCAGGTGCCCCTCCCCTGGGCAGCCCGCTCAGGAAAGCACCCCGCTGTGTAGACGAGACGAGCCCGGCGCCCGGGCCAAATTCACGCTGTGAGGTGTATAAGAGGCTCTCATTCTCTCCAGACATACACAAAAAAGATTCCCTTCGCACTCCTCCTCCGCCTGCCCTTCTCTAAAATTCAATCTTCCCATCTGTTTTCCCTCTCTCAATCACTTTTTGTCCCCTCCACACTTTCTGCAGTGCCTCATTCCTTTACACGGCCTCACTTGTGGCGTTAACCCCTATAAGTTTCACTACAACTTTTTGCATTATGAATAACAAAATCTCTCAAGTGGTACTCAAGAGTCCCAGAACTAACTCCGTCAACTTAACAGACTTCCTACTTTCAACATCTGTAACATCAGCTTACATCAAACAAATTCAAGCTTTACGATACCTGCACATGTAGTCAACACAGTATTAAAAATAACACGTTTGTAATTGCTGGTTTGACAGCAAACATTGAAACCTAGGCGCTCACAGTGTTTCTTTGTTCAACCCATGGCAAGCCCACCATGAGGCGCCCCTCTTCCAACCGCGTCCCCTGACTTCACACCTCCGTGTCAGCCGCCAGGATCAGGCAAGACCCAGGCTTGCGTGGCTTGAAGGCCGGAGGTTACATAAACCAACATACACATTACGGTTCACACCTGGGCTCTTACTAGGAAAGACAGTAAATATGGCACGTCTGTGCCTCTCACTCCTTCTCGTTCTCCCCTTGTTTCACCGCTTCTCTGTGCTCCTCCTCCTCGCTGCCAGTAAACAGTCGTTCCTGTCAACTCAGGCGTCAAAGCTCCCCTGACCTCTGACCTTCTGACACTTCACGTATGTGAACCCCATGGTTTGTTCATGCAGGACTGCCATGGCTGAGGAGGGACATTATGCATTTTACATGACACTGCTCAATATCAGAACAAAAGCCTGTGTTAGAATGTTTTTGAGCAAAAACAACAAACACTACCTAAATTCGGCTCTTCAAATGTGAAGATTTGCAGCTTTTTTGAGTCTTGTGTGATCAAAATTGCCTTCCTATTTTTTAATTTCTGAACATTAGAAAATGCTAATCTGCATTTTTCCCTATTTTCTGACATTTTAAATCAAGAACATAATCTGCAGATTAATCGACAATAATGTTGAAGCCCTATTATGTATATGAATACTAATAGACTAGTGTCATGACTAAAAGACTACCAGCTTGCTGTGCCAAATGTGCATTTCAAACAAAAGAATGTTTGCTGTGAGCGATTTCATTCAGTAGTATTGAAGTAAAATGTAAAAAGCAAGTTATGGCCTTAAGTATAAACTGGTTTGTACAGCTGTAACATCAATACCACGTCCTTATGCGAGAGTGAACAGCATGGTGTTTAGAATTAGAGCGCCACCTGCAGGTGAAATATAAGAACTAAAGTTCATATTTGAAACCAACCATCATTACTCGCTGCTGTTCAGTAGATTCCAGTTCAGACATAGTTGACACCAGTTTGTTGCCACAATGCTCTGCACCAACAATAAAGAATAAATGGATCATTTAAAAAACATTACTCAATCTGTTTTGCATGTGTTGGAATAGTGTGTTGTAAAAAATGCCAAGTAACCAAAGACAGAAGGAGGACGGCAGATAGCCACGTCTTCACATTGAATACAATGGTTGGATATCTATACCATTGTCCAGACTTGTGATTATATTCTGAGTCTTTCCTTACTTTGGTGTGCAGCGCCAAAAGCTGAACATCACAACTAAAACAACTGAATTAATTTATGTTATAATGAAATTAGCGTGGACTGTGTCTTTCACAGTTACTCTTTCTGAGTTTTCTCCACCTCACTCAGTTCTGTGTGTAGACATCATGTACGTACAAAGTTAGTGCTTTGGTTCACTATTGTCGAGGTACAAATATAATACGGTGTACTTGAACATGTTTATAAGCAGTTGCTATAACCGCTATAAAGTGGCTGCAAGTGTTCCTCGCTACACAACATGTTCTTCCTCTTGTCCGTCTTTGCACTCACTGGCTGACCCTCCAGCTCAGGTGGCCCAGTAACTGACCCATCCCAGTAACAGAGACGCCTCCCATCTCTCATCCTGAGGGCTCAACACTGCAGAACAAGCTCTGTCGACCCAGTAAGGAGCAAACATCCTGAAAGGAAATATGACTTAATTCCACCATGAATACTGAGCTATTTACGTCTGCGGTTTATGACCAAGCGTTTCACAGCACAATGCAGAGTGACAAATAAAAAAAAAACTTGACACAATTTAAAAATATACAAACTATTTTTTTTACCAAAGAATCCTGCAAACTGTCCATCACTTTGAAGGGTGAAAAATAAAGGCAAAAAAAATATCACAAAATTAAGTTAAAGTTGATGACACTTAAAACAATACAAATGTCTCCACAGTTGTCAAATTACATTTTTTAAGTGAACTACTTACGTAAAAATATACAGACGCAAACCTTAAAATGTATGTATTCTGTGCTGAAAACAATTCATTACTTCCACTCTTAAATTAGAAAGCAAACCAGAAGCAACTCCAGTCCTAATAGATGAGCACGAACAGAAGCAGTGCTGTGATTGGAAACTAATACCGAGCCTTTTTAAACAAGCCATTCCCTCTTACGTACATGACAGACCTCGATCCTAATCAAAAGTTTTGCAGACCGTTGTCAACACCCTGCAACACGGAACAAAAGAAATCCAACTGGGGCTGCTGTTTGTTCAATCTATTGATCCATGTCGCCCCCACACAGCGTCCTCACCTTCCACAGTAACCTGCACCTCCTGGCCATGTCCCTGAGCTCCTGGGTGGTGAGTAACTCAACACCTGTACCGGAGTACAGAGTGACTCTGAGCCATGATGCTGAGGTCTCTGCACAGGAAGCTGCATGTTGCGTCATGGCCTTCAGGGCCGGGCTGTCATCACTAAGAAAACTGTGCTGTAAGACCACAGCTCGGACAACTTTCAACAACTTCAACTAGAGAGGTGAAGAGGTTTGTCATCTATTTGCAAAAGAGATGGTGACCATGTTTCCATCAGTTCAAAAGACAAATAAAGCCAGTAAATTACATTAAAATACTGTGCCTTTTTAGAATTTGACATTTTGGTCCACAAAATACCCATTTATTTTAGTTTAAGTTTGACTTTCTAGTGTTGTAACTAATCTAATGAGCTAAACTTGCCACAAATACATCTATGTTCCCTGTCAGCAAACATGTTATTTGAGATTACTCTATGAGAAGGGCTGAGAAAGACAATATAGTTAAACTTTTTTTTAAAGAGATTTGTTTTTAAATTCTTTATGATATGGCAAAGTTGTATTGAGCAAATAAGCAAACAGTGGGTCACATTTAATTCAAAAAGATTACTGTAAAAACTTTAATCATGAAATCAAAAATAGAGGCTTATTTGGCCAAATGCTAGCTTGCATTTAAAGAGTGATGCAAACAGCAAAACCCCATCTGTCAAAAACTTCAAGGAGCCACAGCACAAATCAACATACACACCAAAAAAAAAAAAATCCTAACACGTGCTTTAAAAGCCACACGACACATTTTACAACACATTTTGAGAAATAGGTAACTTTTAGTGGCTCAAACTTACCTTGGACCGTCATGATGCATGTCCTCCAGCTAAAGGCTTCTTCCTCCACTGGAAACTTTGATGCCTCCTCCGGAGGAACTCGCCAAGGAAGTGATGACAGGTGAGGCGGCAGCACCACACCTGAACCCTCTCGAGGCACCAGCAGAAATATGTGCTGCTATCTGGCGCCCCCTCGTGGTACGATAGCCAACTGAAACAATTAACCGGACACGGAAACCGTGAGCTTCGTAGCAGAGGCTTGCAACCAGCACAGCCTTCTGTTCACACGTCAGGGGAGGTTTATCACCGTCATTTTAACACTGAGAGGAACATTTCCATTTGCTAAGACATTGATGTCATTTTGTGGAACCCAAAACGGCGGGTGAGTGTGTGAACACGGTCTGTTTTTTTGGACTCGCCGTTCAGATCCTTTCCGTTAGCCGGCTAGCTAACCAACGTTAGCCAGTTTATGTAAGTTAATCATGGCGGAGTGTTGTTGCTGCTCCGCACTGGTCCATCCTTATGTGTCCTGTGGTCACATGTAGTAACGTGTTATATGAGATATTTTGGATGCATGCGGGTTTACAGCGTGCCTGCGCTTCAGTACACACGATCACAATAAGGCAAAAATCATAAAAAGGGGAAAATAAGTGAGTCTTTGTCGATTTCTAAGACGTGAACAACAACAGTCAACGGCATGTGTTTTTCCGGGTAGTTACGTTAAAACCTAAATAATGAAAGTGTAGTTAGTTGTCTTGTCTTTATTCATGACCGTTTTCTCTCCCTGCCAGCCGCCGCAGCAAGTGGGACCAGCCCGGGCCTGGCTCCGGTGCGATGAGGGAGGCTGAAGCTGCTCCCACCGGGGCTCTGGACGCTGCTGCTGCGGTGGCTGCAAAAATCAACGCTATGTTGGTAGCGAAGGGTAAACTCAAACCCTCACAGATAGGCATCCCGGGACCTCCCGATAAGGTAATACGGAGCACGATATTTAATATTATACGCACGGTTAGTCTTTCATAACAAAACCAGCTCAGATGCAGGACCATCACAATGTGTTGGTATGGGTGAGATTGTACACATTTATCAAGCAGAAGATTTCAAATGCTTTTAATACAATGTTTGAAATCTGTATTGTTCTAATCCTTCATCTCTTGATTCCCTTCCTCTCTCTCAGGCTGTAGGTGTTGGGAAGCCTCCAGTGCTGTCGAAGGCCAAAGACGACCTGGTTGTAGCCGAGGTGGAGATCAACGACGTACCGATCACCTGTCGGAATCTGTTGACACGTGGGCAAACGCAGGACGAGGTCAGTAGCAATATGGACAATCGTGTCTCACAGATTAAAGTCCATCACTGGCCTTTTTTTCTGGAGTATTTATTGAAGCGTCTCACTCTGTTTTGTCTGCAGATCAGTAAAGTGAGCGGTGCTGCGGTTTCAACCAGAGGGCGGTACATGGCAGCAGAGGAGAAGGGCAAAGCGCTTCCAGGGTGACTTCTGTCGCCTCTCATTTTCAGACACCGATCACAGTCGACTTTAATTATTATATGTTAACACATCATTTCTGCTCTTTTAATCGCAGGGACCGACCTCTGTATCTGCATGTCCAAGGACAGACTAGAGAGCTCGTCGACAGTCCGTATTTTATTCAGACGTTTTTTTTTTTTTTTAAATGAGTGCGTGTCTTCGTATATCATGTGATTCGACTGGTGGTTTTCTTCCCTCGTTCTCCAGGGGCAGTGAATAGAATCAAGGAGATCATCACCAACGGTGTTGTGAAGGCTGCGACCGCCTCGTCTTCATCACCTTTCTCCCCTAGTGGGGCTTCAGTCACAGTGTACCAGCATCATAACCCACCTCCTCCCTCACTGCCCCCCATGCTCCACCACAAACCACACTTTCAGTCCGGAGTAAGGCGGTTTCCTGCGGCTTTTTATACCTCGTGAACTTAGATCATACTACCACAAAAAGATTTGTCTACATTCTAACAGTGTCGCTGACAGAGCAGACTATTTTTGTACTGACCTACAGTCATGCACGTGGTTGTATTATTGACATGTCTTTTATATTTCCTTTTATAGATGCATTATGTTCAAGATAAAACCTTTGTGGGCCTGGAGCACGCTATCCTTGGGTTTGTGGTCAAAGAGCGGGTCGAGGGCCCCGGCTGTTCGTACCTGCAGCACATCCAGGCTGAGACCGGGGCCAAAGTCTTCCTCAGAGGAAAAGGATCAGGCTGTTTAGAGCCCGCCTCTGGAAGAGAGGCCTTTGAACCCATGTACATCTACATCAGGTGGGGGTTGTCCTATGAATTAAGAACCGCTGCTTCTCAGAGATTATTCCTGCTTGTGTAATAACTAACAAATGAACGAGCCACAAAGGTTTCTGCAGCATTGTGGGCTCAGAATAACTAAATGAAGTGAGTTCTCTCTCTCCAGTCATCCTAAACCAGAAGGACTTGCAGCGGCAAAAACCTTGTGTGAGAACCTGCTTCAGACAGTGAGTGATTTCTTCATTTCACACTGGGAGATGTCTGTGCTTTTTCTATTCCAACAACAACTGATTCATTACAAGCTTACACAACTCCAGATGCGTGCCTTGTTTCGCGTATACTGCCACTGTTAACTGTTTGGAGGAAGAGCTAAATCGCTGACTGCAGTACAGCGTCATTACAACTGCTTTGACACCCACACATATCAAAGCACGTGTGCCAGGGACGAACATCAACTTGGTACAATATATTATTGACTAATCAGATTATTAGACATGAATTAGTAATGAATCAATAACATTGCTAGCGGCCACCATCGACATTTCCAAATCGTGTTACTCTGTCAAACTAACTCATTGTTACCAACCGACTGTGGCAAACAAAGCTAAGAGTCAGTCTTGCTCTTCCTTGTGGCATCAATGATCTGAGCTTTTTACAGCTGTGCCGGTGAGATAAAAACCTGTTGGCACACATCAGTTACAAAGCTGTAGATAGTAGTGGAAGTATTCTGTATATATTCTATACCACAAGTTTGAGTTATTTCTTCAGACACTGCTTCCTGCAGAAAGTACAAGAACAAGGTAGAAGCTCAAAGGGAGTTTGTTTCTACCATTTGATGATGAATAGTTTTAATTGTTTTACAGTAGGTTTAGACAATATTCTCTCCCATAACATAGTGGCAAGTTACATTTTTGTTTTTGCTGTCTTAATTTGATTCCCTACAATAGTACATTTTCATATTTTAGTTCCTTGCACCACTAATGTACAACGTTTCTCCAGGTCCATGCAGAGTATTCTCGCTTCCTCAATCAAATGAGCTCAATGATGCCGACACAAGGTACGATAGACGGTTCTCTTGCTGTGCTTTAGAGTCATCACTTGATTTGTCAATACAATTGATCGTAGAAGTCATCAGAGCTTGACTGGATCCGTTTCTCTCCCCTTCCTCCTCCAGGCTTTGCACAGCCTCCGATGGTGAACGGGATGCCTCCGCAGCCTCCTTACTACCCGCCAGCTGGATACCAGCCAGGCTACGCGATGCCTGTACCACCACCTCAGCCACAACATGTCTCTCTCCCTTACTCTGTCCCTCCTCCTCTACATCCCACAGTACCTGCAGGTGTGCCTCCTCAGTACTCCCTCCCCCTTGTCCCCGTCCCTGCTCCCGCTCACATCCTCGCTCCATCGCCTGCACCTACTTCGGGCACGATGCCACAGGTAGGACCGAGGCATCAAAACCATATGTGTATGGCATGCGAAAGCAATAATACTTACTATATGTCCTTCCGTCCCTGCAGACTCTTCCTCCTGTACCTTTTCCTTCATCAGCTGCAGCACCAACTCCCGCCGCTCCAGTCCTACCACCACAGAAGAGACGCTTCACAGAGGAGGTGCCAGACGAGAGGAACAGCGGCCTGCTCGGATACCAGGTGATGAACAGCTCTTCCACCATTACGACCCCTCATTATTCTGCTGGGTTTTTATTTTCCACCCTTCTTTTCTCCACCTTGTTTTGTTTGTATGCCTATGCTTTGGCAGTGGGTGACGAGTCACTGTGTTTCATCAGCCAATCATTTCCAATCCGTGTCTGTAGCTGCTCTATTTACTTCCCTGTCTGTGACTGATCTAATACCCATTCACCCTTCCTTTCTTCAAATGTTTTAAGTACATCGGTTGAGATGGCATGGCTTGCTGTTTCCCGTTGTTCACTTACAGTTTACCTGTGTCTTTTTACTGGTAATAAGGAGTTTCAGAAAAAGGTATTATTAATACTGATAAGCTTAAGTATCTTTCATAATTGCTGGGGAAGTTGTCAGTAATCAGACCCGTGGTAAGCTATTCACAAGGACAGTTTTTCTTCTCACTTTAGTGCTGATATAGTTTTATATATATATATAGTCATATTAGCTAGTGTTAGGACAGGGTTTAGGATGTGTGCTAATCGCGCCCGTGTGTTTTTCTGCTCATAGCATGGACCCATTCATATGACTAATTTAGGTGCAGGCTTCCCAGTGGGCAGCCCAGAGGCTACAGGACCCCCACCGCAGAGTCCCTCTGGCCCGCCGACTGAGAGGGACAGGTACACAGAGTTTTGTTACATTTGTTAAATGAAATATTAATAGCCTACAAAGACCAGTAGGCAAAGTTATCTCACCCCGGTTCTCTCTGTTTCTCCAGTCGGCAGCTAATGCCTCCACCTCTGCTGCCTGTGAATGGAGTGAGACCCAAGATGGAGGAGAGAAGGGCAACGCAAGGCCCCGTGGGTAAGGGCATTAACCTGTGGACTCACAAATCCCTGCCCAAATCCAAATCTGCAGTTCCTGACTGGACTGTGCCCTTTACAAGCTTAGCCTGGATCTATTCACAGCCTTAATGTAGAGCTGCAAAGAGTAAAATATAAATCCTCTCTTGGGCCACTGGACTGTGTCTAGATTTAAGTTGTTTCACTTGAGATTGAAGAGGAATATCTGTTACATGAAGGCCAATCGGATGTATCAAGACGCATAGTTGGTGTTTCTTTGGACTTAAGTACTGAAGTGTTTGTGGCAGATTAGATAAGTACACTCGCTCAGCTTCAAACTGGTCTTTATGCTTCCTGTGATTCTTTCAGGATTCTGCTTATGCGACTATAAATCCCCAGATAGTGAGGCGGAGCTATGACTCAACATCTTGTGTGCATTGTTCAGTCGTTTGTAAAAAAAAAAAAAAAGATGAGTCGAGTCCACCTTACCGTCCCATTCTGATGACATCATCAGTCTGGGGTTGTCTGTTGTTTGTTTTCTTTCCTCACTAACGAGAATCTCTCCTGTTTTTGTGTTTCTCTTTTTCTCTGTGTTCTTCTTCTCTTCCATGTGTCTCTGGGGTGATGCTGGATTCTGATTGGGGGTGGGGCACGACTCGTCCTGTGACGCTGTCCTCCCGCTCGATTGGACGGCCACGATACTGTCGCTCCCCACCAACCAATGGCTGCTTTCAAATGGCTGCCCCCCTCTACTCTTCTGACAAACTATGATTTGAATCTATTAACTATTTGTTTCTCCCAAAATGTGTTACGAATAATTAACTTGTACCTGTCCTATTTGAAACATGTTGCCGCTGTTGTTTTTTGGTGTTTTTTTTCTCTCTCTCCATATTTCTCTCCCTTTCTCCACAAATGTCCCACCTCTTCTTTTTGTCTGCATGCTTCCCCGTTTCTTCTTTCAGAGCACTCAGGGAAGCGATTGAAAACTGGTTTGGTGGCGTACACCGGCGACTCTTCAGATGAAGAGGAAGACCACTTCATCTCCAAAGCCTCAGGGCCAGGTAACCCTGGGACAGTTCCCCCCACCTCAGGCTGGGCACAGGGCTACCGCTGCCCTCCTCCACCACCCACTCGAGCTAAAACACAGCCACAGCAGCAGCAGTCTATGCCTTTCTGGATGGCACCCTAAAACAGGAAAAACTCCAAACTCCCTCAGTGCTTTGTGCCGAGTCTTACAAGATGTTCACCCAAACTGAGCCTGTGTTTCTCCATCACTCATCACATGGATGACTCTTAACAGCTACGTGTTGGTTGCAGCATAATCTTAGTGCTTCGGTCCAAATGGACTAATTTATGTTTTGTTACTTTTTCTTTTGGTGCACACATTAGTTTGAAGATGAACATTTGCAGGACTGATACTCAAGCTATTTTGTGGATGTATAGATGGTCAGATGAGCGACATTCTGCCTCCAGTTTGATTTGAAAACAGATGCCAGGTGAAGTTTTTGAATATTGTGTTGTCACAAGGCAATGATCACTGACCACTTTTCGTTTAATCCCTAGTACAGCTTTTTGTACTTTGTCCCCTTTTCCAAGTCACTGACATCATCCTTTCCTATTCTGATCTTTTTGTACAGATCATATTGGACTAATACGTAGTAAAGCTATTGGATTTATTCATGCTTTTATGAAATAAATAAACTTAATTTATTGCAGTGTTTGAGCTTGTGATTCTTCCTATATTCTACCATGTTAAGTCTGTTTTGCCATATGTCATCACAAGCCAAATAATTAGCTGTCAACAGTTCTGCCTTCTGAAACACATCGTGGATCGAGTGACAACCTTGCTGCAGAATTTATATGACAAATAATAGACCACTCATTCTCTTATGGACATTTCTGAAAAACATGCGGCCTGTAAAGGTTTTGCAATGATGATGAATTTGAACTTGAAATACATTTATTTTTAAGCAGTAACCCTGCTACACAGTGCCGTATAACACAATGAGCTATTACTGCTGTTATGAAGGACTGAATGCTGACATGAACACCTGCACAGTTTCAGATCATCTCGATCGCTGGCTCTCTTGGAGGGTTTTTCTTCTCATACTGAGTGATGCGGCTCTCCATGACCGGCCGGAAGTGGCGGATCAGTCCCTGTAGTTACAAAATGAAGAGTGAAGAGAAACAAAAGTTCTTGTTAAAATGTAAATTAGTACATGTTTGAACTTGTTTCATTGACAGCTTCATGTTTTGGCGACTGGTTTAAAAAAAAAAATAAGAATCCAGAGATGTCACCTGCACGGGCCAAGCTGCTCCATCCCCCAGGGCACAGATGGTGTGTCCCTCTATCTGCTTGCTTAGCTCCCAGATCATATCAATCTCTGAAGCTGCTGCTTCTCCTCGAACAAACCTCCACATTATTTTATCCATCCAGTCGACTCCTGAGGGGAGGACAAACAGAGGAACCGGGAATACAGTAGAGAAATGTATTCACAATGAAGAGCACCCTTAAACTTTGAGCAATGTTTTGACCAGATTGTGGTAAATACACACATCAAGGGAATTTACAATACTTTCCATTTTGTTTTTTATACTTAATACTAATTTTAGGTAAGTTAAATATTGAATGAAGGGCCTTGTACCAGAGTATTTCTTTTTACTATAATACTTCTCTCACCACAAGTAATATGTGGGTAGTTAAAGCTTAAACGACCTCAAGAAGACTACAAAGAGACAAAACAACTTCTAAGAGACAAGAAACGACTATAAAAAGGGGGAAAACATCTATAAAGTCTATGTGTCATGCTCCGATGTAGGAGAGGTGGTGGGGCCTGTTAAATGTCGGTGCCCAGGGGCCCATAGTATCATACACCGTCCGTGCTGTCTCGTAAGTGGTGAATACATTGTGCAGTTCCTTACCCTCTCTGCAGGGGGTGCACTGGCCACAGCTCTCGTGTTTGTAGAACTCAACCAACCGTGCGATGGCTCTGATCACGTCAGTCTGGAGGAAAAATACAATTCTCAGATTTATCTCTCCAGACTGATTGTTACTGAAGCTGCAGTGTATTTTCTTATCTACATTTTTCGGGGATCTGTTTACCGATTTATCCAGGACTATGACGGCAGCTGTTCCCAGCGCAGTCTCTGCACGGACCAGGTCATCGAAATCCATCAAAACATCATCGCACACATGCTGAGGGATGATGGGAGTGGAGGACCCCCCTGGGATCACTCCTAATAGATTGTCCCAGCCGCCCCTCACTCCTCCTACACCAACCGCACAAGAGGAGAGAGGAAGTCATGTCAGCATCTCGTATAATAAACCAGCATCAACACAGCGGTGGACTGTAAACACACACACACACACACACACACACACACACAAACACACCTGCGTGTCTTTCTATTAGCTCCCGTAGAGGAATAGACATCTCTTCCTCCACCGTGCATGGTGTGTTCACGTGACCGGAGACGTTGAACAGCTTCGTCCCAGAGTTCCTCTCCCTCCCAAAGCTGGCGAACCAAGCGCCGCCTCGACGACAGATCGCGGGCGCCACAGCAACCGTCTCCACATTGGAGACTGTCGTTGGGCATCCAAACACACCTTGAGGTGGAGAGGGATGAAGGAGTGAATAATCACTTAAGAGCTGTAATTACAACACAATTTTGTAGTTCCTTAAACCATAATTAACTCCAGTAGGAAACCAGATGTATGAGGCTGTGGTGCTTTTACTCACCTATGTCTGCAGGAAATGGCGGCTTGAGTCTGGGTTTCCCTTGTTTGCCCTCAAGAGACTCGATGAGGGCCGTCTCCTCCCCGCAGATGTAGGCCCCGGCCCCCCGCATCACAAACACATCAAAGTCAAACCCAGAGCCACAGGCGTTCTTACCTATCAGCCCTGCTTTGTATGCCTCATTAATAGCCACCTGTTTATAGAGTAAAAAACAAACAGCATGAATCACACAGCATCTATGGATTGACGAGTCACCCATCTGGGCCTTTGTGTACCTGCAGATTTGAGGACTCATTGTAAAACTCTCCTCTGATGTAGATGTACGCAGCACGAGCGCCCATGGCTCTCCCAGCGATCAGGCAGCCTTCTATTAACTTATGGGGGTCGTGACGCATTATCTCACGGTCTTTACATGTCCCAGGCTCCCCCTCATCAGCATTCACCACCAGGTACTTAGGTCTAAGGACACAGGGAAGAAGGAAACACTCAATACACTGATAGGCTGCACTAGAGTGTCATTACTGGTGTGAGTGATGCTAAAGTGTTTCTTTCCTTCTCCTACCTGCCGTCACTTGGTTTGATCATGAAGCTCCACTTCATGCCGGTGGGGAAGCCTGCTCCTCCTCGGCCACGAAGCCCTGAGATTTTCACCTCATTTAAGATCCAGCCCGATCCCTTCAGCATGATCTCCTTTGTCTTGTACCAGTCTCCTCGTCTGAGTGACCCCTTGAGTCTGTTAAGAAGAGAGAGAGAGAGATGAACAAGCACGTCGACAGAGTTTCAGGTCATGGAAGACTGGGAGAAAAGTTGTTTTTCTTCTTTTGTGTTTTTACCTCCAGTCATGCCGGCCATATAAGTTGGTGAATATCCTGTCTTCGTCACTCAGAGGACCAAATGTGGTCTTTTTTGGCTTCACCTGGTGAGAGAGAGAAGATAAAAGAGAAGTGTGATTGATGCATGAAAATCAGAGATGTCATCACTTAAGGGCTGAAACCATTATTTTCATTATTGATCGATAATGAAATGATTAATAATTTTGTATATAAAATGTCAGAAATGAGTTAAAACTCCAAGGGGACTTCTCCAAATGTCTATTTTGTAAGTCCAAACAGTCCAAAGATGTTCCGTTTATTCATGTTTATGAAATAGAAAAACATCAAATTGTCACATCTGAGAAGCTGGAACCAACCATTTTTGGGTATTTTTGCTGAAAAATGACAAATGATTATTCAATCATAGTTAGCAATTCATTTTCAGTAGATCAAATACTCGTTGCAGCTCTGCACCACTTGTAATTACAATGCTGACATGATAGTGAAATCTAGAATGAATTATATGAAAAATTATTCGAATTTCAGAGGCCTCATATATTTTGTTTCGCATGGCGATATGTGGAATTTTGTGTTCTGACTCTGGAAATGTGCATCTTTAGAGTATATGTGAATTAGTATAACTTATTTCTGTGAATTGTCTAAATTTGGGTAATTTAAAATTCATGGTTAAAATGTTTTAAACCGTTTTAAAATCACCACTGTATGTTCAAAGAAATGAAATCACTTTGTGACAACATCTGAGATCACAGTAACCAAACTGACCTGAATACCTCAAAATAAAAATAACATTGAAGTAATGTGGCTGGTGGGACTCACAAAGCATATTGAAATCGCTTTGTGTAATATAAATACATTTTCCAGAACATGGGATGTGGTAATGACATGTTTAAACATTTAATTAAATATAGCCTACCCCTTTAATACTTTCTGTGATCACAAACACTTAAAAGAAACCTAAACTCTATTAGAATCGTCATATACATACACTTATATACTTGTCGCATCTTTTTACATCATATACAACAATAGGAAAATACTTAAACCCAAACACCGGTTGACACAAAATAGCTAAATAAAGAATATCATCATGTTTATCTCCGTAGCTCTGTTGGCTAATCTCCTTATTACTTGCTGCGTGTCAAAAATGTGGCATGCCTGTATTTGAAAGTAAAAATGTAGGCCAGTGTGCCGAGTTGTAGAGTACAGTGCGTGTGTTGCGGTGTGCATGCAGGCCTACCTGCGACTGGGATGTAGTGCTGTAGGTCAGACGCGGAGCGACATGACGCGCCACAGCGTCCCACAGCATCCGCCGAGGCAGCATCCTGCAGGAGACAGACACCTCCAACCCTCTTTAAACACGTTTATACCCCCAAAGCCTTTTCTGCCCACAGTCTCCGTTTGACTTCCAGTGCAATCAAATCGATTCCTGAAACAGAGCTCCAGTGTGGGCCTGCTGGTTCAGCTTAATTAAAAACTAAGAGGATTAACTAACGAACTACGTCACATCCTATCCCAGCTGCCCGTGGGGCTCCCAACAGTTACCCAATCTTTCACAGGTGCGTGCACTTAATTGTTGAGTATCAGGACCACTAATAGACGCTATCATAAGGGACTTTGTGCATGATTTACAGGCTTATAAATGGATTGTTCATGTGAAGATAACCACTAAATATATCAAAGGTCCACAACTAGTTATTGATTAACCCATTTGACAACAGGCCTTTTTCACAGCAGACATTTTGACTTGTCATAGAGGAAAAGTACAGGTGTTACAGGCCTGTTATTTTCCTTCTGGGACATGTCAGAATGATAGCTGTGAAAAAGGCCTACTTCTTTCCATTATTATTGCATGTGTTCCAATACAGATACTATTTAGTGTGCCAGAAAATGTATTTCAAATACAGTATGCAAGCCAGCATGCTTTTCTGGCTACTCTGACCCTGAGATATATGAACAAGAGGGTCAAGTTTAAGGTACCATGTTATGATGGAGTAGCATTTCCCAATTGAATACGTACTGCATGCAACAGTACGTACTTTGTAAGGGCAGTTGCAGTATGTAAAAGTGAAAACAAAAAGTATGCAATTTGGAACACAGTCAGTGTGTTTAAGATTAAGAAAGCAGTGGGCAGTCCAAAAAACTATGGGGTATTTTAAGATGTTTCAATTGAAAGAATGTATTCTACTTTGTATTGTACTTTGTATTAGGGGGGCTAGCATTAATAGAGATGTATGTCAATCCAAGTTTATTTTAAAGAACATCTGCTTCAAAGAGTCATATTATCTTAACTTACTCGTTTGTCCACCAGCGAGCACAAGTCAACTGTAAAATGTTACTCTTCACACATGTTGGCAACCAAATCAACTTTGTACTAAAGCCCTGAAAGAGTTGTTTTCGTAATAGAAATCAATAACAGAAACATGGAAAAGATCAAGCTTAGATATCTTTATTTTCTTTACATTAACTGAAACAAATGATGGGAAAATGAATTCATATCTCTGAGAAGGTTCCACTAAAAACGGAAAGACAAAAGTGTATCCCTGATAGCGGGGTCTCTACACAGACCGGACCCCATGTCCCTTCACCAAAGCCAAGAAAACAAACCGCTCACATAGAAACACACACTTCACAGCTGGCATCAGTTAACCCTCATTCATTCACAAAGCTCCGGCCGGGAGCACCAACACCCTCCATGAACAAGACCAACCGTCATACTGATATTCCAGTAGGACTAGTTCCAGTAAGGCCAGTAGTTTACCATCATGCCTATTATGTACCGATTTCTTTATCCCACAATAGGTTTAATTCAGTCGGTTCTCAATGAAATGATAAGAAATCTACAAAACCTCTTATTTTCATTCATGTTTTTTGCCAAGTATGTTTGCACATACAAGGATTACAGACACTTTAATAACATACATATTTTAACATATTCTTACATATATATATATAAATTTCCATTTTCTTTTTACTATTTTTTGTTTTGTTTATTAAGTCAAATTCCTTGTATGTGCAAACACACTTGGCAATAAACCATTTCTGATTGTGAAACTACTGGCCTTATACGTTCATGAAGAGAGCCAATCACCTGACAGCACCAAACAATTGCTTCCCATTTTATATAATCACTTAGTGCATTGCTCAAGAATTCCTGAGAGTAGTTGCAGCACAAAAAAAAATAAAAATTCTAAGGCAACTTCATCCCAATATATATCATATTGACTATTAATTCTGTACTACTATGCAGGAGGAAGAGTATTCAATGTACGCAGGTTTTAAAGAAGTATTTCAATCACAATCTTAAACGTTATCGAGTGAGTTAATGGACTAGATATGGAAGGTCAGACAAAAAGGCTTGAAGCTCTCAAATCTCATAGTGCAAATAAACTACAAATAAAAAAAAGACAAAGATTTACTACACAAGGAGCAGATAGTGCACACAAGGCCAGTACAGCGCGACTGCTACAGCATGTTCTGTCTGCATGGGTTTCAAGAGAATTGGGAATAAAAAGACAACTGCTGTTGTTTAAAGCCATTAATGATCACACACACTGCGAAAGGCCTTAATGTACTGGTCCCGGGAAAGCGTGACGAAACTAAAAAGGTTTTTGGTCAAAGACAGATTAACTCAAAGGATAATGGCCCCTTTAGACACAGCGGTGGCCGATCTATAAGAACTGCCATGTTAACATGTGATACAGTACTATACATGTTAAATAACAGAAAACCATGCTGAAAAATGTCAAACAACAAAGTCATTTTGTGTTCCAGTTACATCAAAAAGGTTTTCAACCCCCTGACTTTTTCCTCGCTCGGTTCCCGTCTCTTAACCCCGGATGGAATGTGCCTGTATTATTGCAGTACCTGACAGGGTTTAATGTGCAAAGAATGCTTTCGAGGAAGAATCGCCAAAACAAGACAAGCAGCCCATAAGAAAAGGCGGTAAGTCACATGGAGATGTTGAGTCAAAATCTTTAGCGCAATGCAATGTTTTGTAAGACTTGTGATCTGTGTCCCCTCCTTGCATTTGGTCTCACGAAAGAGTTTCAGCAGAAGAACCATAATAAATAACAATAAATAAATAAGTACAGAATAGGGGGGGGGGGGGCACCATCTCATTCATCCCCTCACCTTTTTGCCCCTTTTCTATTATTTCTCTTTTCAAATAAGGAACCTAAATGAGCGCATTGGAAGAAATCCACAGCCTTTGGGAAAAGAAGAATCGTCTTCAACACAATCAACATCAACTCATCGACCCGGACTTTGTCTCTTTTGGTCAGGCATTTAACACAGAGCTCTACGGCCCTGAAACACTCAAACATGGAAGCAGATTCTCTCTCATGGCTTTCAAAACCGTTGGGAAGAGTCTTCTCTTCAAACCCAACATTGGCTACAATTCACCTCTCTCCTCTCCTGTTAACTGAGGATTTAAGAAAACAGTTCAACTAAAAATCTTTGGTTTAAGCACCAACTGAAAGCAGAGATTACCACTAACAAGAAAAGACACACCGAACATTATTGCTCTCAATGTACAGAATGAGTTTGATTAATTACACTGCGTTTCCACTGATAACCACCAGAGGACAGCGGGCACACATACTCATTGTTGTGATCTAGGTGATATGACTTCTGAATTGCACCTGAATCAATACATTTAATATTGTAACTACAATCTAACATCTTCAAAAGTCCCTTCATGTTGCAGCTCTGGATTTTAGTTTGCATAGAGAAAAGCATCCCAGTTCCCACACACTCAACACACGCACGTCCAGCTAGAAAAATCAAACCAAACAGCTCAAAACTGAAGTACATGAAATCAAACAGCAAACGAGAAATAAAATCTAAAAGACAAATGAAATAAAAATGCCAAGAGCCAGAAGACAAACATTTAAAATATCTAAGAAAACCCGTTTTCCATTTTTTTCTTTTAATATCATTTAGTTGTTTTTATTTTGTAAGCGCTCTATGTGGGAGCAGCAGGTCATTAGTCCAGCCACCTGAGTGAGATTTTTTACTGTGGATGCTCAACCACACAGACACGCACACATATTCACACACACACACACACACACACACACCCTCTTTTTTACTATTCCTCTTCCTCCACTTCCTCTTCTCCAATTTCATCAGCCCATCTGTCACGCTGCGCGGCCGGTGAGTGGGTTCCTCCTGGATCTTCTCCCTCCGCCTCTCGGCCCCCTCGACGCTCCAGACCTCGCAGTAAGAACTCCGGATAGCCGGCTAGCCTGTGAGGCCCAAGTTGAGCCAAACGAAGGGCGAGGGATCGCTCCCTCTCGACGTCACATGGAAACATCAGCGGGGGGCCGACACCGGATCCACTCCCACCATCCAGCAGCGTGTGAGGGAAGAACGTGGAGGAGTGGGCCTGTAAAGACAAGACCTCCAGAGGGTTGGACTGCTCCATCCCGCCTTCATCTCCTCTATCATCCTCCCCAAGCTCTGCCCCACGTCTGGGCCGACGAGTGCGCAGCTCCAGGCAGCTGTGTCCCTTGCGGTGACGCTGGAGGTGGTCCTCTCGGGCAAAGGCCTTGTGGCAGAGCAGGCACTCAAAGGGCCTCGCCCCGCTGTGGAGGGACAGGTGGTTTTTTAGGTCGTATGAGTGGAGAAAGCGGGCAGGGCAGTGAGGGCAGGGGTATGGACGCTCGCCGGTGTGTTTCCTCATGTGGATCTTCAACTTATCATTCCTAATGAGGGGAAAATGAAGAATGAAGAGAAAGGAAGGGAAAAGTGAGAAACAAGAATAAAAGATTGCAATACATTGTAAATCTTTGTGCACATTATATGCAAGTAGTAACTGTACCGGGTGAAACGGACTCCGCAGGCCGAGCACTGGAAGGGCTTTTCCCCAGTGTGTGTCCTCATGTGTCGGGGCAGTTTTCCTGCTCCGTGGATGATCTTCTGACAAACCGGGCACTGCTGGGGCGTCTGAGACTTCCTCTTTCTCCCACCTCCCGCTGCCGAGGCCGCCGCTCCTCGGTCAGCTGCAGAGGTAGGTACGGAGGTGCTTTCCATCAGCACACCGTCGTCACCGAAAGCCTCCATGTCCTCATCCTCTGACAGCTTGTCATTCGAGGGCGGGACAAGAGGTGGGTGGGCTATATGGGTGGGCTCATGCAGCCAGTTAAGGAGCCCTCCATTTAGTGTCGCCCCTTTCCCTGGCTTTCGGATCGCCCTGGGATCTCCGTTCTGCCTGGATTTGACGCGGAGCTCCTCCTGTTCGGGGCTGGGAGGCTGGGTAGACGGCAGGGAGCGGAAGCTGTCGGACGAAGGTGAAGGGTGCGAGACGGGAGAAGCAGGTGGTGGGTTAAAAACGGAGGAGTTGATGTGATGTGACGTACATTTTTTCATCTTCTTTTTGTCCATTTTTCTTCGAGACCCTCTCTCCACCCCACTCTCTCCCCCCGCCATCCTCTCAGTAGCTGTGTTTTGGGCTCTCTGCTCCTCCGTTATCTCCACCTCCGCCTTCTCCCCCAGGATATCTCTGCACGCGTCGGCCACACACTTGATGCCCAGAAGCTGAGCCCCTCGCAGCACATCTCTCATCCCAGAGCTGGGGATGGTCAGAGTGGCAGTGTAGGCAAACTCCAGCAGGGCGTCCAGGGCGTTGGGTGCCACGCAGTCGAGCTGGCATACGCTGAAACCTCCTCCGCCGTCGCCGCCCGCCTCCTCCGTCCCGAACAGCCCGCGGAAGTAGAGACTGACGGCGGCCATGACAGAGCGGTGAGTTGGGTAGCGCTCCCCGCGGGATGTCAGAGTGAGGTCACAGAGAAGGCCTGTCCTCCTCTGGTCATTTAGGTGGGACAAGAGCTCGTTGCTGTGCTCCGGGAAGGGGATCCCAATCAGACCGTCCTCTCCTGGAGACATTGCCACCTATGCGTGAAAGAAAAAGGAAGATCAGGTTAAGTGGAGGGAATGAGGTCTGAGCAAATGGAGCAATTGACAGATTTGTACCCGTCACAATCAGCATTTAAAATGAGTAAAATATTTTCGAATGAATTCCATCTTTGCAGTTTCTAACATTGAAAGAATACCCTTCTTCTTCCTCTTTCAGAGAGCCAAGCATAGACCGAAAAGTACCGAAAAGTAAATCTTCTGTAGCGTGACTGACACAAGGAGTTCCTTTCACGTGAGGGACAATTTAAACCGGGCTTAGCAACAACTCTCACCCCTTATCCTACCCCCCCCCCCCCCCGGTACTTTCTCTCCAGATTACTAAATCAGGAGGCGGTGATTTTGGCCAGTGAGATGGGGGTTGAGGCACCAGAAGGCCAATACGATGGAGATGACGGAGTCAGCAAGAGAGGCAAAATATAACAGCAAGAAGGAGAAATAATCATTAGAGCAGAGAGAGAGAGACAGATAAAACCAAATGATCGATAACGACGACGTGGAAAGGATGCAGCATTACGCAATGTACGGTATGTGCTGTGGCCAAAGGGCAGTAGGTCAATTCCCGTGTGAAACCCTTATAGCATTAGCTGTTTGATTAAAATACCTGGAGAAGATAGAGAGGCACAAATGGAGGATAGAGAAGAAAGAAAATCAAGCAGGGGACAGGGAGGAAGTTACTGTGGCTGAAAGGGGGGAGTACCAGTGAAAGAATGAGGAAGGACGAAACAGCAAGATAATGATTACACTCTTTACGATGACTGGAATAAAAGTACATCATTCACAAACATATATACAGTATATATTTCAATCTTCTAAGGTTTTTTTTTATCTCAATAAAAAGGATCTTTACCAGTAAATTTGACGACGCAGAGGTACGAGTGTTGGGTCGAAGGTGAAATATCGTACTGCAAGTCAAAGGACAATAACTTTCTTTATTTCTCTTTGTGAGACACAACAAGGTCTGTCGGTAATAAGACCCAACAACTCTCTTCTTTGACTCCCTAAGCTCGCACCTCACCTTGGCCACGCTATACCTGCTCAACAATATCTCTCACACACACACCTGAGCAGACCAGATTTTCCACAAACAACTCACCCTCCAGATTCCCCCTCCCTGCCCTTCATCTCCCTCCCATAGAAACTGGCAGCCCCCTGGCCATCCAATAACAGTGTTCACACAGTGCCCAGAGGGCTCTGCACAACGACGGTACATCCACCTGACTAACCTGCTCCAAAACACACCTTATTAAATACACACAGAGACAAGAGCGCACACACACAAGTACCCGTAGACACATTGCGTGCCAATCTGAGGCTCCCCCTCCCACTATTGTTACAATTAACCTGTTCTGTGATGAACTTAACGCCTATTTATAACACATACTTGCGTACATATAAATGTACTCCACCCATTAAAAAAATGAAGACACAAAAGTACAGCCAGCTAAATAATTACCTCTCACAAACTTGCCAACACTTCCCATCACGCAAATTGATATCAAACCTCCCAAATGTTGCTTTTCTCATCCCCAGGACGAGCTAAAGTACCCAAATGTTCAGCCTACCTTCTCCGTCTTCATGGGCACGGGCACAGTAAGCCGGAGACGAGGCAGCACATGTCTCACGGCATCCATCTTTCTGCGCTTTACAACTCTTCTCCCTCTGCTGTTTTTGAAAACCACTTTTTTTTTTTCTATTTCCTTCAACCCTTAGATGTTTAACTTAAAGGACTGATCTCTCCGTCAGAAGTCGTGGTAAAGCGCTCATCCTTGGGGATGTCTACCTATTTCGCACAGCCTGTCACTCAATCTCCTTCCTGTTGTATCAAAAGAGGGTTCATAGTGACGAAGGCAGATTCAGAGATAACCCTCCTCCCCCCCAGGTCGCCTACGCGCCCCCCTCTCGCCAAAAACCCAACGGCCCATTTTCCGATAAACAGCAACTCCTCGTCGACCTCTCCCTGTTCAGAAAGAGGCCGACAGGTAGGTCAGGAGCAGTCTATGTAAGGTCATGGCGGCACTGTGGATGATGTAGAATGAATAACCTTCAGGCTGCAGACCAAACGCATCAATTTAACTGGTTTGACAGGAAGGAAACCGACAAGCAACCAAAGCACCTCAGAAATACCAATATTTCTTCAGTCAACTCACAGAGCGTCAAAGTTGAACAATCATGTAAGAACCAAAATCATATTGTCATTATGAGTCATATTACACCCAGGAACAAACATTCAGGTAGGTGCAATATGAGAGCAAAACCATATTGCGTCGTACGACAGACAAACTGGTGCAGAAAGCTCTTCCTTTGTAACATGGGCATGCTCAACGTCACCAAGTGCTCTTTATAGATAAATAAAAAAACACCACGCTCTCCATAACAGATATTTACTGTTATTTTTCAAGCCAAAGGCAGTTTCACAAGAGTTATCTCTACAGCTTGAGGCAACAAGGACGGCATGTGCTGCAGGCGCTGACACAGAAGAGTGAGGAAGTTAAGGGGCATGTGTTTGCTTTGTCTCTTGCACACACGGACACTGTTCTTTTCTTTTTGCATTCACACCACATCCCATTTATACCAGTCAATATGCTAATAGATCAATCATTTAAGTCCCTTTTCAAGCAAAGACTCCACAAATTCTCTGGTTCCAGATTCACTCACAAATGAGAGGATTATCTGCTTTATTCTGTTTTATATGAGTGTAAACTGAATATCTTTAGACTTTGGATGGTGGGTTGGACAAAACAAGATGCTTAAAAAAAAGTTGTGATGGAGCATTTTTCACTATTTTCTGACATCTTATGGACAAATATTTAACGGAGAAAAGAATGTGTAGATGAATTGTTAGTTGCAGCCCTGCATAATACACAGATGTCTAATAACATGCTGGAAAAGAAGCATCGAAGGGAGAAATAGACCCAGCAGAAGGTCACCACCTGAGCCTCAGCAGGACAGAGTGTAAAAGCATCCCTTGACCTTGCGTGCGTGCGTACACTCTGTCTCAGTGTAAGTAGACACGACAACAGACCTGAATGTCTCATTTAAGGAACACCATCAATGGTACTCATTGTTTAAATCCATCCACAGGAAAACAGCATGGTTGATAGTAATTATTGTGTGCGTAAATACACGATATATCACGTTTGGCCCAATTTCTAAAATCCCTCAATGAGCGAAACGTCACTAAAACACAAAAAACAGAAATCTCAAGCGAAGCAGTGCAGACAATCGAGACACAAAAAGGTTTCAGGAGGAGCACACAATAGCGCACGTTAAATTTCCGGCACAGGGGAGAGAGAAAAAAAGCAAAAAAAAAAAAAAAAAAAAAAGCATCATGGGTGGTTGGTGGTTCGAGCTTGTTATTTTAGGCATATTCCTTAGAACACAGGCGTGTTCGGAAAATAATAAGATTGCAAAGAAGTTGCAATGATTCCCATAAATTTTCTGTCCGTCAGTGAGTCACTTAATACTGACACAAGATAAAACTCATAAAACTCACTCTCTCACACACACGCACACACACACACACACACACACACACACACGCACACACACAGTATTTTTGTCGCTAACCAAGGACATGTCTGCATAAGTTGCCGAATTTTCCAACATATAGCAACTAATGTTAAAACAGGCAGATACCATAAAGACATCTTGTCTTTCAAACTAAGACAATGTTAGTAATGTTAGTTTACAAGTTTACAAGCCGGTATTCAACTATGATCATTAAAAATAATTACTGTAATTGTACAGTTATGTTTATTCACACTAACAAGGGATCACTACCGTAAAGTGAAATAACTGATATCGCCTTTAGGTGTCATTTCAAGTAATCGATCATCTTTCCAAAACACACAACCACAAAAAAAAAAGCTCACTTCAAGAGAGTATTTTATCTCAACTAAATCTGCCATTTGATCACTTTTTACATATGTTAAGATATTATCCTTTCAACTGTTGGGTCTCATCTTTCTTTGTTTTCACCTCCTACTCTTTTTGTCGACGGTGGAGGAATTCACCTCCTCTGCAACTCTACGGTTTCCTCATCCCTTGCTTTCATTATGTGCACACTCTTCCTCTCTCTTCACAACAAGGATGTCATACGTTAATAACTACATTTAAAGAACTGCCAATAACATCTGGATATTTTCTATGATTTTGTCTTTATCCAACCGTCAGCCCAAGTGTCACAAACCCAAAGAAAGAAGTGCATTGTACGACTAGACCGTAAAAAGTAAGAGAACTCAAATGAAACATTTAGAAGAGAATCCATCGGAGACTGCTTTTTACTGACGGGGAAATGGAAACTTAAATCCACCATTACTGTCCACTTCCACGCCTCAGAGTAACTCACTTGACACAAATATGGTTAGAGGCCAGGAAAATAAGAGCAGCAGGATTGACCAAACCTGCACACAAAGATGTATTCTTCAGTATAAAAGCAGGTTATAGGTTTGCACCGTCTATATCATGAAATCCCTCTGCTCACACTCAAGTGTGTGATGACTGGAACTAGAACCGTTAGTGTTGTTTTTATGGGTCTTATTTTCCGTTAGAAGGTTGTACGTGTTCCCAGTCCACCTCAATTATATCAGGCTCCAGCGCTACAGGGGGAAAATATGACTTTATACTATTCACAGAAGACTGTGGCAGAGAGGGAGAAGGAGAAATGCTTTATGAATTCTGATGTCAGATGTTTTCCAAAGTGCCCGTTTGTGACGGTGTGTGTGTGTGTGTAAGTTGGTTAATGTGAGCTCGTGTGGTTGGTTGCATGTGTTGCAGCTTTCTCAGTACTTAAATAAAGTCTAAGGATAACTCTTAGGCTTGAACAAAGTCATGAATTAATTTGAATGTAAAAAGGTAAAAAGAGTAACATTTTAAAAGCACATGTAACAAAATTTAGCAACAATATTTTGTGTTTTTACATCCAACATGTTATGTTATAAAATACCTGTATGGAGATACATTTCTAAATATTGCAGGAGCTGAAAAACATTAAAGAATGTATTTATAACAGCAAAATCACAAATAAGGAGCAGTTGTCTATTCTGTACAGCAAATGAAACAAGTGTTTTCATTCAGATAGAACCCACTCCTTGAGAAGTCATTCATAACCACAACATAACAAACGATGTTGCTGAACTACCACTGTGCCAGAAAAACAAGAAAGCGACCAAACCCATGGAAAGTAAGATACAAGCTCATACCGTATCTCCTCCACTCAACCGTCTTCCTCTCACCACTGTTCTTCTGTGTGACACACTAACTTTAAGGGTTAAGAAAGAACGTTTTCACCCTCACGTCACTTATTTGGGGTAGTGAGTGTGGTGCTGGGACACCTTCTCTGAGGAAGAGTAGGGGAGGAGGAAATGTGGGGGAATGAGAAGAGATGGGAGTACACGCATCTGCCAAACCAAAGCTGCCCGACAGAGCACTCTCACAGGACTATCTGCGGGCAAAACGTTCCACGTTTAAGCAACAAATACAAAACTACATTATACACAAAGCTGACCCATCCAGGTCTTCTAATAAAACAGCTTGTCTCTGCCAGGAGATAAAACACAAGCTCCACCCGTTCTGCGTCCCAATAGTTCCCCCTGGACTGAACATTTGCATCCCACCAGGAGATATAAAAACAGATGCACCCGGGGAGAATTTGAATCTGCATTTGAATTTGTCAAAGACCAGACTTGAGACACCATCATGATAATAAGAATGATTGCAGCCTGCCATGACGGGACATAAAGAGGAATGGAGAGATAGAATAAGGAGTCCAGTGGGCTGATGTTACTCAGCAGAACTTCAGTCTTTTATTCACGAAGACCCTGCAACCAAGCCCCCCTCTGTCTTTACAGTAACTGGGGCATTATATGGTGTGTGTGTGTGTGTGTGTGGACGCATGCGCACATTGTGGTCTTAGTTCCAAGAGCACATTACATTATTCATTTGGCTGGCAGAGCGGAGGCCCTTATCCCCTCGACCTCACACACACCACAAACTCTCCACTGCGAGCTACAACAGCAGCCAGTTTGCATGCCAGACCTGAACAGCAAAGTGACAATTATCAGTTTGTCCACACACGGACATTTGGGTGCACACATATATACGCTCTGTCCCGTAACATTCACCAACTTCTGACCTGAAGTTTAAATAAATAAGAAATAAACTCTTTGTGAGGGTATCAATTACCCTAATAATGTTAAATGAACACCTTCAATTTAACAACTAAGTATATTTTTGGTGACTAATATCGGGGCTTTATGAAAGATGTTTTCTCACAAGAAGACTTGGTAGTAATTCTACTCAACTTTAAGGGTTGAATGACAGCAGAGAACAATAATATTTTATTGTAATAAAGCCTTTGGGACCAGTAAGAGAATCTCCACAGAATCCCGTGCCTCATATTACAATAAAATATGTAGATTATATTGATATATTACCCTGGTCTATGTGCAACCTTACATACTGTACCATCAACCTTTAATTTATTGTTTTCTTTTACTAAGATATGGTACTAAGTTTAACACATGAGTGATGTTGCTCACTAGTCTCCATGTTTGAAGCAGGATGCATCCATTAGTGATTATTTTATAAATCATTTTTATACAATGTAAAGCCATTTCTTCTTGACAACTTTTTGATTCTGAAGAGACACTGTATATTTTTTTCTCAAATTAGTGTAATATGTAACATTTCTGCACGGTTTGCCACTGCGAAAATATGAAAGAGCAGGAGCAGGAAAAGAAATAAATCTGAGGTTGGAAAGAGGAAAAGATTTGAAAAAGAGACAACAAAAGGAACATGAGGGAGGTACGTTTTCTAAAAACACACATGTTCTTAGAAATCACACAAGAAAAAGGAGGTATGGGGGAGGAGAAACACATGAGAGTGAGTGAACGGGGAGTGGGTGTCGAGATATACTTGGAGATAACGCAGAGAAGAGGCTAAGACAGGAAAATCTAGTCCCGGCCTCGAAAAATCTGTGTTAGCGAGGAGACATAAAACGAGAGGAGACAGAGTTAAGTTACAAGGAGAGAGGAAGGGGGGGAGACAGAAAAAGAGAAGGGAGAGAAGCAGTGACATGACGACTGGGAGACAAAACCCATGCACGCAGTCACAGGAAGTAGCAAGAGACCTCGCAGGTGTGTGTGTGTGTGTGTGCAGATGTGGTAGAAGCCAACTCTATCATTAGTGTCGCCAAAAGAGAGTTCCACCCTCGGGTTCAAAATCATAATCCAAAGTCATTTTGCGTCGAGCATTCACATGGAGAGGAGACAATGTTAATGTTTTGTAAATGCATTTCTTGATTACATTATTTTTTTAAAGATTAACTTGAGAAATATTTTTATTATAGACAGTAAAAATTGTACATTCACAACTAGAGATTCCCTTTTCAGTCAGACTTTCCATCAAGGCCAATATCAGACTCTTAGTAACCAATAATAATATAAATATATAATTTGTATTTTTAAATACACTTCTAATTATCTTGTTTTACAAATTTGATGTAGCTATGAAAATAAAAAGAGTCACAGAGGAGTAACAATCTGCTTTCTGTCAATAGACACCAGAAACAAAACAATGACATATTTAGCGGCACTGTCCCTTTAATTTACTGTGTGTGTGTGTGTGTGTGTGTGTGTGTGAGAGTTATATTAAAGGCCAAGTTATGGATGTAATTGTGTGTTATGTAAGTAGTTGCAAAGTTAATAATTTCTGTTATTTTTAAATATTTTTTTAAATCATTTAAAAAGGTGAGCGATGTTGTTTAATGAATTACTCTAAAATTGTATTCAGGTTTTTTCATACTCTGATCTGTTGCCATTTTCTACAAATGTTTTGCTGAATGCTCTCTTTGAAATTGAAATAAAAATGTAAATAAGCAATTCATAAATGAACATTCATGAATTTCACATGAACATATACCCATAAACTGTGACGACACATTTCAAGTAGCATCAGATTTGACCAAATCTTTGCATTTGTGCATCTATGTTGAAACTGAACATAAAAAGAACAACTGACAATATATTCATAATTTAATAGCGCTATTATTACTAGTACTAAGTACCATAAATCCGTTTTGTGACACTTTTAAAAAAAAATATCTAACTATACAATGCAGTTCAACATAAACTGCAGATGGGAAAATTACTTCGGAAATGAATCTACAACTCTAATCATTTAAAATAATACAGTAGCGCAAAGACAAAGGTTGTGTGGAGGTTTTATCCACACAGACACTTTAAACCCATGAATGTGTTCACGTGTGTGCATCGATTACTGGAGGTGTACTCCTGTTCCTGTGTGGGTGAATGTGGAGATGTTCGGAAGACACAACTCTCAGTATGTTATGTTTGTTATTGTTATTATTTAGCCCTCGGTTTGGGTGGTGGGCTGATGTTAATTATGTGTGTTCATTGTGTGGTGCTCACAGTTCCTCAATGTGTATTTAAGTCAACAATCAATTGACTACAGCACCGCTACACTGTTGTTTGCTGTTGGTGAACCTTGCACTACTGTTTTTTTTACCTAGTTAGTTAATACCACTCTTTTTTATTGTATATACTGTGCATTTAAATGTATTATATTCTGCTCTGTTATTTTATTGTATATATTGAGCATCTTTCATACTTTTATCTATCTATCTACTCTGCCTGAGAATATATGTACATGCAAAGAATGAATAAAGCAAATAATAGCAGCAAAAATGAACGAGCGGTAGCTGCAGAACGCAGCAATATCAGTTTTTGAACTGAGCTTTTTAGTTTAGAACACACATTTAGACTCACTTATATATTATTATGATATGACATATCATTTTTTTTTTCATAAGTTGCCACATCACTGGGAGGGTCTCAACAACTGCTGCTCTCCTATACAAAAAACTGCTATTGCAAAAGCACTGGACACACACACACACACACACACACACGCACACGCACACGCACACGCACACGCACACACACACAGAGCGAGAAATGACGAAAACTAACTGATCCTGATCAGTTTCCTCTTCCTGTGTCTCAGTAAAGATGGTCGAGCAGTAGAACAGATGGAGAGATAAATGGAAGACAAAGTGATACATAGAGAAACAGCTCAGACAGAGCTCAAGAAAGAAGAAAGCATAATAAAACATTAAGATCTGTACAAGCAGAGAGAAGTAAAAAAGCACATCGGAGGACATGAGTGAAAGATGCGTCACCTTCCTGATAAATCAGCTTAGCGGCGCGGTAGGGAGGGGAGGAGACGGTTTACTGTAACTAAAGTCCACGAATTAGATCACAACTTCAGAATAACTTCCACTAGTGCACAACTGCATCACCCACTGCTGTGCTGTCAAAAGAAAAGTCAGGAACCAGACAGCTGCAAACACGCCGACAGACATGAGGTTAAACCGACCGATGACTTCTCTTCCAGATGGACGTCTCAGACAAATCATGATCCTCTATTTCACACTGTGTATGATGGATGTTTGAGAAGCATTTCTTGAGGAACAATAGAAGGAAGAAGCGATAAAAGAAATTCATATTTCGTCAGAGAATTTTGGTCCAAAATTTTTAATATATTAACAAAACAAAAGTGACTTTATTATTCCAAAAGGGAAGGTATGCGGCCTTTTTGGAATAAAAGCCTCCATTTGCTGCTGGAGTTCCCCTTTGAACATCGCACATGAAAGAGGTCAGTTTCAGCAGCAATGACTCCCTTTGCCTGCTGATGTTTGGGTGTTTGTTCTCACTTTCCCTGAAGTGTTGTCTCACTGTACCTATTTATGATAACCGCCCGCTCAATGTGTACAGAAACAATTGCACTGTTACTAGAAGAGCTGAATCATGATCACTCCTTGAGCTTTTTTTTTTTTTCTCAAGCCTGTTTTCTCTCTCTTCTGAGACTCTTTACAAGAAGAAGAATAAGAGTCACGGCCACCTGGCGATTGGTTAACACTGCGTGGCGTGGGATGCGAGGCTGGTGGTCGAGAGCGAGGGAGGGCTGTCAAATGCTACAGAAACTCATGACTGAAAAGAGGAAACGGCAGATACATAACTTCCTCTATTGACACAGATCGAGTGTGGGCAAGACTCAACTGTTATCAGCAGCAGACTGAATTACGGACACAGTGTAGTCACCCCTGTGCCATTACTGCCTCAAAGTGGGGAAACAACCGCTATATATGGTGAAAATGGGCCTTTTGTGCAGAGGTCATGGATTTTGCACATTTTAAAAATAAATGGGACTCATAATCATAAAACTAATAAGTTACAGCAGTGAAATAATCACCACAACTTCGTGAAAATAAACCACTGAAATACATTGTTGACACACCAGTCTGACTGCAGAGGGGAAATGTCTCCTTGTTTGTTGCGTGAACGTGAAAATAAGAGTCGGGAATAGAGAGATTTTCTCACAATAAAGATTGTTGCAACGTCGACAAAAAGCCTCAGAAAAAGGGTGAGACACCTCAAAATATTAGGGGCAAAGATAGAAGCCTTTACTTTCATCAACTCCTACTCTGCCTCCCCCGTTCGGTCTCTCTCTCTCTCTCTCTTCCCACCTCCCACCCTCTCAGTCGGTTTGTAAGAAACTGAAAGAACCATGTATGAAAAGGGGGAATTTATATGGGCTCACATGCCCCAATTAAAGCATTTCTTGGAACTGTATATATATA